GTTTCTGCATCTGGCCTACTGAGCCCCTGGAAGAACTCCTATCTCTTGCAAAGTCACTGCATGCCACTGCCACCGAAGTCCAGAGGAAGGATGCAGAATTGCAGGCCAGCTGTGATATGATGCTCCCTGCCCTGCCCTCAGGCTTGGGGGTCTGCATTTTTATCCCCCCTAAAAATTATGGCTCTCTGTGAGTCTGATTTAAAATATAAATGTGTCACTCAGTTTGAAATGCTGTGCAGCGGCTGAGAAATATGCTCATTGTAACGAGCATAAAGCACTGTGATAAATGTGCTGTCCGGGAAGAGAAGCTCCAGCTCCTGGGTCTCGTGTCTGTGCAGCCATCCGTCTCCCTCTCTGGGAGTTCAAAGGAGCTTTGAGTCCTAGGGGAATTGGGAAGCAAATGCTTTTCACCAAAAAAGGGTTGGGGGAACCACTCAAATGTGCAATGTTTGCACAAACAACTCTGTAAAACTTTAGTTCACCTTCACGCCACCTCACCTCTGCTTATTAAAAGCTTCTGGAAAGATTCCCACTACTACTTCAACTTTTATCCCCCCAACTCTATGTGGAATAAATAGCATAAGATTGAAGAATGATGGAACTTAGTGTCTGCTTCACCCACCTGTTTAATCACCAATGAACCCGAAACAGACACAGTGACTTTGCTTGCTTTTAAATATCCCACAGGGAAAGAAGAATACAGCACTTATTTTGGGGTGATACGATTCTTTATTGTGGGATCTTAAAGCCTTTGGTTCTAGCTCTTTTGCAGGAGATCTGGCCTCATTTCTTTGGACTGGAGTGTCACTGAATGGCTCACACAGAGCAGCACATCTTGGTTGTGAGGACTTGTTCAGCAAGTCCCCACCTATTCAGTCAGCACTGAGACAGAGCCCTGAACATCTGTGTTCTGGCACGGTTCATCCAGGTGACTTAAACTCAGATCCTGCCTTAAAACCATTACCCTGGAGGGCACGTGTTGGCCACTGGATAAATCACAAGCTGCCTAGTGATGTCCAGGCAAGTTAGGGATAGATTGGGTTTTCCTCTGTCTTCATTTTGTGTCTCAGCTCTAGCTCAGAGCCAACAGGGAGAAATTGTTTCCCTTCCTTTGCAGCAAAGGTAGCAAGCTTCAGATCTGGGGCCACTGCTGGGGCTGAGCCTGTGCTCCCGTAGGAGGTTCAGGGTGCAGGTGGAGGGAAAGAGGAAGGAAGCATGGAGCTTCCGCGATGGTATGAGCAGTAGCGAGAGCATCCTGCAGGTTTGGCACTAGGGACCCTTCGTCAGTATTGCACTGGAATAATGACAAACCCTATGTTTACATGTTACTTTATGAACACCACCTGCAGGCTTCTTACTTTTTTTTTTATCATATTGACTTTTTAAAATTTTGAGATACCTATGAAACTCACCCTTGTAAGTATGCAATTCAGTGATTTCACAGTGTTCAGATTTGTACAACCATCACAACTGTTCAATTTCAGAATGTTTTTATCACCCCATAAGGAAGCTCTGTAGCCACTAATAGTCACTTCTTTCCCCTCCTAGCCCTTGGCAAGCACTAACTTTCTATTTTTATAGGTCTCCCTATTCTGGATTTTTCACATCCTTAGAGTCATGTAATATATGACCTTTTTAGATGGCTTTTCTTTCTTCCTTAGTACTGTTTTCACGGTTTATCCACCTGCAGTGTGCATCAGTACTTTATTCCATTATATTGCTGAGTACAGTTTTATTGTGTGGGTAAGCCGTATTTCATTTAATCCATTCATCAGTGATGGACGTTTGGGTTGTTGCTTCTTTTTGGCCAGGAAGAATAATGCTATCATGAACATTTGTGTGGATGTTTTTGTGTGGACATACATTTAAATGGGTGGGTGATGGAGAAACTCATCCCCTTTTGAGGAACTTCATACTGTTTCCTAGTGGCTGAGCCGTTGTACGTTCTCCGAGAAGTATATGAGTGTTCCCATTTCTACACATTCTCACTAATACTCGTTATTGTCCATTCTTTTCATTAAAGATGTGAAGATATATCTCATTGTGATGTGACTTGGATTTTCCTGATGGTTGATGATACTGAGCATATTGTCATGTGCTTGGCCATTTGTCTATCTTCTTTGGAGAAATTCTGTTGATCTTGTTCTCCTTTGCCAATTTTTTATTGTTTTTTTTTTCTTTTTTTTAGAGACAGGGTCTCCCTCTGTCACTCTAGCTAGCATTCAATGGTGCCATCATAGCTCACTGTTATCGAACACCTGGGCTCAAGCAATGCCTTTGCCTCAGCTTGCCAAGTGGCTAGGACTTACAGGGGTGCTCCAGCATGCCTGGCTAGTTTGTCTTACCTTTTGTAGAGACAGGATTGTACTGTGTTGCCCAGGCTAGAGTGCAGTGGCCCAATCAAAGCTTATTGCAGCCTTCACCTCCTGGGCTTAAGCAATCCTCCTTCCTTAGCCTCCTGAGTAGCTGTGATTATAGACACACAACACTGCACCTGGCTAATTTTTAAATTTTTGTAGAAATGAGATCTTACTATATTGTCTAGGCTGGTTTCTACCTCCTGACCTAAAGTAGTCCTCCTATCCTGGCCTCCTATAGTGGTAGGATTACAGGCATAAACCACTATGCCTGGTCAAGGGTTACTTTTTATTGCTGTAAGAGTACTCTCTTCAGGGCATGAGAACCTTATCAGATCAGACACATGACTTGTAAGTACACATGTGTACTTGTCGTGTGCACTTGTACACTTGTGTACTTGTAAGTACACATGACATCAGACACATGACTTTGATTTTGTGAGCTGTCTTTTCACTTTCTTGCTGGTGTTCCTTAAAGCACATAGCTCTTAATTTTGAAAAAGCTTATTTTTTTTCTTTGGCGATGCTTTAGGTGTCATGACTAAGAAACCATTGTCTGCCTTTTCCAAGGTCACAGAGATTTACCCCTGTGTTTCCTTAGAGTTTTATAGTAAAACAGAGGCCTTGGGACTCTTAAGTGCCCTGGCCCCCTTCTATCAGGAATCCACGTATACCATGAGCCTGTGAGAAGAGCCTGGATTCTGGTTCCCTTGCACCATGACATGTGACAGGACCAATTGAAAGAGGAAGGAGCATAGAAATCAAGTGGCTGCCAGGGACCATGATGAGGAAGACGGGGAGTGACTGCTCCTGGGCATGGGGTTTCCTTTTGGGATGAGGAAAATGTCCTAAAACGAAGTACAGCATATGGTTACACAACTTTGTGAATAAACCGAAAACTCGAGTTGTACACTGTAAAGTAAATCCACAGTCCATGACTTATATCTCAAAACTTATTTTCAAAAAGGTAAAGAGCAACCTCTAATCAGCCATTCCACATACAAGAAAAGGGGGGGGGGGAAATCATGCCATGTTATTTATTGGCTCTTAAATTCACATCCCCTCTGAGACCCATCGCTGTGTCTGAAGTCTGCCGCCAGACCAGGAAAAGTGTTCACAAAGGAGCATAAGGGAGGGCGAAAGGCAAGGAGCATGTTGTGTGTTCCTTTTCACCTTGGGCGCTGGGAAGGGAAAGTCCCCCCCCCCCCCCCCAGGACCTGCAGACCACAATGTTGTGAGCTCCTGGGGCTCAGAAGAGCAGCCCTGAGCCTGCCTGTCGGGCAGTGTATCCCACTTCCCACCTGTGCTATCTGATACTCCCCAGCCCTCGATTCTTTGGGAAAACTTTCCAATGGACCCTCTTTAAAGGCAAGTGTGCCCCAGGAGAAGGGTACCACCACTCCCTCTTCCTTACTGCCTCAGAGTGAGCAAGTGTAGCTGGGCAGTCCCTCAGCACAGCTGCTGGTGATGGGAAGGGGGAGACGCACAGTCCCAACACGGTAAATGACCAACAGCGGTAGACAGAGTGCAGCCCTAAAGGCATGTAGCCCTCCCGATGCCTTCCAAAGATGACATCCGGGACTGGTTGTCCCCCTCTGCCAAGGACGCAAAAAATGTGGGTTGGGCTGGATTGATGTTTGAGAGGTTTGGATTGAAAATTCAAAGTCTCCTGATAGGAGGGATTATGCTGAATCACACTTAACTGTATGCAGTAGTGAACATCTAAAATTTGAGATAAGAGCATCAGAGGAACGAGCATGTGTATGAAACGAGGCAGCTTTAATGGGAAAGGGGGCAGATGACCCCACCTAGAAAGTAGTGAACTTGCTTGTTGGAAAGACTGCACTTGTCTCAGTAGATGACCCCTCAGAGGCCGAGATATACACTTAAGGCCGTCCTAAAGCTCCTCTCCAGAACACACCAAAACAGGACTCACACATAGGGGTGGTGGTATCGCACGGGCTGCTCAGTTATGCAAGTTGCAGTGGGCCTGCGTTGCTCCAAGGATCAGAGAAAACCTTAATCCACTTTGGGGTGAAAAATGGTTTCTTCTAAGCTGCATTAAAATATGAACAGTGTTCTCTCTCCAGGGCAGTGTTTTCCAACCTTTTTTTGTCTCACAAAACAAATTATGTTAATCCAAGAAAAAGTAAAAATACATATATGTTTTGCTTTGAACTTCTTTTGAAAATAACTTTTAAAGATCGTTAATTAAATTTTCACGGCACACCAGTGTGCTGCAGCACACCAGCTAAAAAAATCACTGCTCTGGGACCAGGTATGTTCACTTGTTGGTCGCTAGTGTATACTTTTCTGCCTTTGGAAATGTTTGCAGTGAGCAATATTCTACAGGAAGAAAACCAACAGCTAGAAGCAAAGTTGCATTCCAGGGAGGGCCTGGTGCTCCCACTGCAAAGGGGCCGCATTCCCCATGTTCACAGCCCTCCACCCCTGGCCGCAGCTCCTGGAATCGACCACCCACTGGAATTCTTGGAGGCACTGGGGAGGATGAAACTTCTTTGGGACTGTTTTTTGCTGCTCTGAGAACCACTTTGTGCCCCGGTGTCAGGGTGCTGTCGGAGGTCACCTTTGGCTCATGTGTGGCCAGATGTGTCACCTGACTCACCTTTGCTTTCATTGCAGGTGGGCCTACCATGACTTCTTCAACCGGTATCGGGTGCTGGTCAAGAAGAGAGATCTGGCCAACTCAGACAAGAAGGCCATCTGCAGGTCTGTCCTGGAGAATCTTATCAAGGTGAGCTGGTCGGTACAGGCCCTGGAGAGGCACCACCAGAAAGTCCTGAGAATCGAGGGGATGTCTCTGAGATGTTCATCTGTTTTCCTGCCTCTGTGACAGGAGAAGAGAAATACCTAGAGTACTTTCTATTCTGTTTCATGTCCCAGCGCACTGCAGTTCCTGGGGCTCAGGCTTGGCTGCCTGCCTGTGCTGGTATACCTGCTGGGGCTCTGGGGGGGGGAAGCTGTGCAGCTTGCATCTTATCCCTTGCACTACCAGACTCAGGCCCTCCCTTGATACTTGTTTTAAGTAAGGCAGTACGTTTTGGTTTGTTTTTGAGACAGTCTCACTGTGCTGCCCTGGGGTTGAGTACAGTGGAGTCATAGCTCACAGCAAATTCAAACTCTTAGACTCAAGCAATCCTCTTACCTCAACTTTCTGAGAAACTGTGACTACAGGCGTCTGCCACAATACTCAGCTAATTTTTTCTACTTTTAGTAGAGACAGGTTCTGGCTCTTGTTCAGGCTGGTCCAGAACTTTGGAACTTAAGCAATCCACCTGCCTTGGCCTTCCAGAATGCAAGGATTACAGTTGTGAGTCATCACACCTGGCCCTATATGTTTTAATTGAAATAACCTGAAATCCTCCCTGACAGTTGTGACTATAGAACTTTAAAAGCAGAGCTATTTGGATGGGGTGGAGGGGATTGTAAGGGGCAAAGCCTTAAACATTTTAACAGTGCTGGAGAATTCAGAGATTATAGCTGAGTATGAGAATACCTCCATAAAGGGTTAAGTCATATCAAAACTCTTAACTCTAAGACTATAATGAAAACAATTATATCAAAATTTAAGGTCAAGAAAGGGCTAGAAAAACTAGCCAAGGGTTGTGCTGGGTACCTATAGTCCCAGTTACTCAGGAGGCTGAGGCAGGAGGATCTATTGAGCTTAGGAATTTGAGATTGCTATGAGCTAAACTGACACTATGGCACTCTAGCATGGGTGACAGTGAGACTCTGTCTCAAAAAACACAAATTTTTAGAATTTTGAGGTGTTATTTTGCTAGGAAACTATTCATCTGAAATAGCTCAGTGCCAACAATCGGAGTTTACAGTTGTATTTTGTGTGCCACCGTCACCTAAGCATCATCTTAGCTACTCAGATCTGTAGCTATAGACAGTGCAGAATATTAGACTAAATGTATATGTCTCTTTAAGGGTGCCTTCTAAAAAGGGTAGCCCAAATACTGGCCTCTCTTGCCTCTTTGCCCTTAAAAAAATTTTTTTAAACAGAGTAACAGGGAAACAGTCTGGTTAGTGAAGGGCTGTGGTTGATCAGTTGGACTCTTTGAGGGTTTTACTTCAGCCTATCTATCATTGTTCACATTTTAACATCTTTCTATTCTCAAGTGAGAGCCTGTGTTCAGGGTCAGCTGATCTCAGTGGAGCACTGGGGTTCTTTCTCTTTATTGGCCCCAGAAGCTGGCCTTTGGTGTGCAGTCAAGGCTTGCCAGCAGCCTGGTTTACCTGGCGGCTGCTTTCTCCTTGGGGGTCATAGTTTCACTCTTCTGCTCCAGTCCCTGTATTTCTCCAAGGCTACTAACAAAAACTCTGCTTCCTGAACAAAAGGCTCTCTGGCAGGGACACAAGTCAGACAGCTTCCATCCCCACCATGCTCCGTCCAGCTGATGGGACCAAGTGCCACTGCCCAGGGCTGCCTCCCCTGGAGCAGCTGTCTCTTCTGTGCACTGTGCGGAGCCTGCCCACTGTGTAGAGACCAGCTGCAGAGCCCACTTTTCCCTCCTGCTTTCCCTGACCCAGCACCTGCCTGTAGCACTTCGTGTCACTCCTAGGGCTTGTCCCCTACTGTCCCGTGCTCGAGAGGTGTATCTTTTCTTGCAGAGGACAATGTCTTGTGTTGATGCCTCCCCCTTAACTATGATCACTGAACCTGACACATGGAATGAACCTGCCAAGCATTTGTGGAATCCATCAAGGAACAGTGACTTGCCTGGCTCCTGCAGGGACAAATCTGTGCTGCTTCCTCTGCCTGAAAGGCCTTTTTCCTCTTGCACCTGTCTGACCAAGTTCTGCTCTCCTTCCAAACTGAGCTCTGAAATACTTCCCAGCTGTGCAGCCTGTCCCCAGCCTCCCAGATGGAGCTGGCTATCCCATCCTACATGGACCTCCTCCCTTCCCTTATCACATTCTTCCCCTTATGTTGCAATCGAGGGTTTGTCATTTGACTAGCCTGGACATATAAATGGCAAGTGTCCTGTCATCTGTGTTTCTAGTACAGTTCCTGGTTGTCATAAGAACTATGTGAGTTTGTGCAGATGGCTACATGGAAACTGGCTGGAAAAGCCCATTGTGATGGGAAACCTGGCGGTAATGGCTCTCCTGATAAGGCATACCAAGCATCATCCTATAGTCTAAAGCGCTGACCCTATCTGTTTGGGCAGTGTCACTGTTACCCTTGCTGGAGACTGAGTGGGGACCAGTGCTTCCAGACTTGCCTACAGACCCTGTATTCCCTCCTTTTTGCTTTCCACTTTTCTGAATGGTCCACATCTTCTGGACACCCGTATTCTGCATGCTTAGGCCGAATGACCTGAGCCTCGGCAGAACAAGTGTTAAGCAGGCACTTGTCCCTGTGAGCTGTAGACCTCTGGGGGTGTGGGCCTGAGCAGACAGAGGAGAGAACTGGGCCCAGGCCCTGCTCTTCCCAGCCTCACCGTCAGCCTGGCCCATGGAGAGACTCTGTGACATCCAGCAAGAAGCTGTATTCCCAGCTCATCTGCACTGTGGGCAGCACAGCCCCGTGGGAACAGACCCACAACCTGTTATGTTAACCACATGCGTCTTAGCCCACAGTGAATGGTGAGGTGGTATTTCAGAGCTGTCTGCCAGCATGAAACGCATTTGTATATGTGTGCTCCTTGGACCTTGGCTCGTTCCTTTCTCCTCATCGTCATACAGAACAGGAGGGCAGTGTATTTACAGAGAGCTCTGTTATTGTAGGTTAGCTCTTCCACTGTCTACCCTGGGCCTGTCCACAGACACCCTGCTGGGTCCTCTTTCCTCATCTTTGGGGCTGAGCATGGGGAAGGGCACCCAATTGTATCCTGGTCAATATAATTAAGATAATAATTACAGGTCTAAAACAATCTGTAACAATTTTATTTGTGGGTCGTTTATACCCTATAACTAATCATACGGGGTGTGGCCATTTGAGAATAATTTTGTTACAGTGTTCGGCAGGTCAGGTCATTCCCCTGCTCGATCCCCTCATCCCCTCACCCCCGTGGTTCCTGGCCCAGTTTTGTACTGTGGCCTACAAGGTAAGTGTTTCCTCCTGGCTCTCCTGATCCTCAAACATACCCTGCTTGTTGCCACCACAGGACGTTTGCACCTGCTTTGGTTTCTCCTGGAATGTCCCAACTTCCTCCTCACCTGCTCCTGCGTCTTTCAGTTTATTCAGGGTTTTGCTCAAGGATCACCACCAAGTGGCCCTCCTTGGTCATCCTTTTTAAACATCCTTTCCCATCTCCTACTCCTTGATTTTAATTTTTTCATAATTCTCACCATTATCTGAAAACAGAGTTATCTTTGTTAGCTTATATATCTGCCCTCACTGTGATGTGGGCTCCTTGAGGATAAGTATCTGGACACCTGGCCCAGTGCCTGTCCCACAATAGGGTCTTGGTGTCTGCTAATGAATGCTGAGAGTTTGTGCACATCTGCAGAGGGGAGGGGCACGTGGAGTCTGGCTGCTTGCTTTAGATTCTGGGGGGCACGTTTCCTTGCTGCTCTCGAGTGACCATCCAGCTTCCTTCCCTGCCTTGTAAAGGATCCCGACAAGTTCCAGTTTGGCCGCACCAAGATCTTCTTCCGGGCGGGCCAGGTGGCATACCTGGAGAAGCTGCGGGCTGACAGGTTCCGGGCAGCCACCATCATGATCCAGAAAACTGTCCGGGGCTGGCTGCAAAAGGTGAAATATCACAGGCTGAAGGGGGCCACGCTGACCCTACAGAGGTACTGCCGAGGATACCTCGCCCGCAGGTGAGCCACGCAGCCAGCTCTGGGATGGCAGATCCCAGCAGGGAGGAGGGAGACTGACCGCCTCTCCCAGCCCACCGCTCGCTCATCCTCTACACTCAGAATGCTTCCTGTCTACATTGTGCTTTTCTCCTGGCCACTGGGCCTGTCATTCTAATACCCTTTTCCTTGTTAGGGGTGGGAGGGGGTCTAGTTCCCAGGTTTCCTGCCCCTATCCCACCAGCACAAACCTAGAACCACCTGTGCTTGCCACAAATCAGCTGTTTCCGCTTTGCCTAAACCCCAAAGGAAAAAATGAACTCTTTTTAGGGAAAGAGGTACATCTAGCTTTTCTTCCTCATTACTTATACCACCGATTTCAGAATCCCTTGGAGTTTGGTAGTGAGGGTTGGAAAGGGCAGGCCCTCCTGTGAGTTATTGCCCTGAGCCTATCTAGGACAGTGTGACTCGTCTACCCATGGGTGGCTACCTTGGGTGGGGTCATGATGCTGGCCAGACTCCCCTGCCCTAGCCAAGCAAAACAAACTATTGCAACATTCCCTCCTGACTGATGTCACTGGGCTAGTGAGGCATCCACTGACACAGGAGTAGAGAACACCACCTCAAGCAGACCACAGCCTCAGACCTTTCAGCAGGCATCTGGTTTTGGACCCAGCCCTGGTTTAAGACGAGTTATCTCTCTAAATAGGAGTTTCCTTGGAAACTTGGAAGCCAGAGTCTTATAAACAGCTGTTCAAAAACAAAACATGAAGAGACCCCCTGTTTTCTAAGCCTAGAGCAGATCAAAGATAGAAAATTGCTCCTGCATATTCCCTTGATATGCTCCCCTGGAGCTGTCTAAGCATAACTGCGGGTGACGGGTGACGAGTGCCATTAAGCACCTCCTAACTGTTGAGAGGAACTCTGGAGCCAAGACTGTAGAGATGAGAAGACGGTCAGGGCTGGCAGCACTGAGTGATGCTATCAAGTCGTTGAGTGCTCCTGTGTGGGGCTCTGTCTCAGGCACCCTGGTGGTATGGGTATAAAACAGGGTTGGCCGTATTCTCCCTGAAGGGAGTTTATATTCTAGAAGATGTGCAGGGCCCATGTATAAGAAAAGACTTACAGAGAGCCCAGCTAGGGAACTGGATGTGTTTCAGCAGGTAGTGGGGAAGCTGCGTTAAATGATTTCTAAGGTGCTTTCTAGCATTTGACTCTGAGACTCTAATTGAGCACTTGCTCTGTCTGGGCTGGGCATCCTGCAAGACCTTTAAGAAAGGGTAGAAAGTGTCAGACTGGACCATTACATTTGGGAGGGGAATGCAGAAGCAGAGATGTCTGCATTCAGGGCATCCTGGGCAGAAAGGGCCAGGAGGTGAGGAAACGGGCTCGGTGTGGGTCTGAGATAGTTTTAGTTATGCCCTAAGTGCTTGCCTGGCACCTGCTATGCCAGACCCTGAGCCAAATGGGAGGCAGAGACCCAGCCCCAGTGATCTCCAAGCTGGGTGAGGAGGAGAAGGACTGACAGTGATGCAGACATGGGTGTCGAGTGCTGCTGGCAAGGTCATGGGGGACTTCCCCACCTCACTGCAGGAGGTCCTAGAAGAGGTCCAACTCAGGCCAAGTTTGAGGTATATAGAAAGGCTTTTCAGGCCATAAGAAAGAAGCTAATGCTGCCTGAGGGTCAAAGGCCCAAGGCCTTGATGTGTCTGCTAAGGGGAATAAGAGTTGGGCTGGGGTGTCTGGGTAGGGCTATGTGGGGAGAGACTTGCTTTAGCCAGTGGCTTGGGGTCCTCTCTGTGAGGCCAGTGCTCTTTCCTGACACCAGCATCTCTTGCTCCCCAGACTAGCCGAGCATCTGCGCAGGACCAGGGCAGCCGTGGTGTTCCAGAAACAGTTCCGCATGCAGAGGGCCCACCGGGCCTACCAGAGGGCCCGCAGGGCTGCCATCGTCATCCAAGCCTTCACTCGGGCCATGTTCGTGCGGAGGAAGTACCACCAGGTGAGTGGCCACCCCTAAGGGGGCACATTCAGAACCGAAGCAGCAGCAGAGGAGTTTGTGGTCAGCATGAATGTTCGTTGGTTACTCCCAACCTTTTCCTAAGGATGTTTGCATCTCTGCTGTCACCAAATCCTTTGTAAAATCTCTTGAGGCAGGATGGCTGTGTATCATTGTACCCCTTTGACACCGAGAAGTTGAATCACCTGCCTGATGGCAGGAGGGCCTGGCGACCGTCGTGGGCTTACTCAGACTTGAGAGCAGGAGGCAGCATTACCATCACCAGGTGTAGTCCCTTCATTTAACAGCCGAGGGGCTTGCAGCCCCGCCGTGTGAGATCAAGAGAGTGACCACAGCTGCTTCTCTGCCAGGCCATTGTTGTTCGTGTTACTTCAGCCACCTTGGTTAGGGAGCACAGAGCCAGGATGATGTGATAGACGCAACTACAGCACAGCACTACTTGAAGGATGAGCTGGAAGAAGAGGTCCAAAATTTTATTTCCTAAAGGGAACATTTTTTATGATCATAGCAGGTGTGATTTCTAAAAAGAGCAAAGCACTAAATTAATACTGAAAAAACCAATGGCATCAGGGTGAAGCAGACCCGGATGTAATGTGTGGAGAAACCCAAGCCAGTGGGAGAAGGTTCTGTGCATATTGTCAAGAAGCTGGTGACATCTGTGTGATGTCTCCATGGAAGGGGCAGAGGTGACATTTGGGAGGTCACCAGCAGGGTGGGGCAGCAGGAGAGAGCAAGCACCGAGTGTGGCTCTCAGCCCTGCGTCTCACAGCTGTGATGCTGGCGCTCTCAGCACACTTGCTCTTTTGTTAATTTATGCCACAGACGTATATTTTGCAGGATATTAGGGTGAGACCCTTGATGCTTTCATCTCCTGGGTGTTTTTAACTTGGAAAAAACCCAAACCCAGTGAAGTACATGACCAGCTTGTAATTTTGCAAGCCCGTAGCCCATTGCGGACTCCCCCTGGAGCATCCCCTGCCATCTTCCAGCTCAGTATCACTGGGAGGGGATCTGTGTTAAATGGGGAGGGAGCAGCTGGATGACCACTAGGCCCCTATAACTTTGGGGTGTTTAGATAGTTATCCAAACCAATAAAACAAAGCTGAAAACAAGAATCTGACAGCTGATTCCCTGAGGGAACATGGGCTGTAGAACCAGCTAAAAGGTGCTCATCACATACCACCAATGTCTTAAGTCTTTGGGTCGCTGGGTCTCCATACCTCACCTCCAGTAGCTTCCCAGCTTCCATCCTGGGGTATGAACCCACAAGGTGTGTGGTGTCCCCACTAGGTCCTCAGGGAGCACAAGGCCACCATCATCCAGAAGCACGTGCGGGGCTGGATGGCACGCAGGCGTTTCCGGCGGCTACGTGATGCTGCCATTGTCATCCAGTGTGGTTTCCGGAGGCTCAAGGCCAAACAGGAGCTGAAAGCCCTCAGGATCGAAGCCCGCTCTGCACAGCACCTGAAACGCCTCAACGTGGGCATGGAGAACAAGGTGGTCCAGCTGCAGCGGAAGATCGACGACCAGGTCAGTGTCAGGCACTCCACACCCAGATGTTAGGAGCTAGCGCAGGGCACAAGGGGCATGTTGGAGAGAGACTCAAAGCTCTCTCAGGGAACTGTACCCGCCACAGGCCTGAGAGAGCACAGGTGTCCTTGAGGTATCACCATGCTGAGCAGGAACAGGTACTGACTGCGGCACGCAAAATAATGCCCCCAAAAATGTCCGTGTCTTCATCCCTGGGATCTGTGAAATGTTACCTCCTTGGACTTTGTAGATGTGATAAGTTAAGGATCTTGAGATGGGGAGATGATGCTGTGTTATCCAGGTGAGCCCTAGAGATATAATCACAGGGGTTCTCCTCAAAAGGAGCCTGGAAGGCAGGAGTCAGAGGGGGAGATGAGATGACAAACCCAGAGGTGGTGGTAAAGGCCACAAGCCAAGTCATGCGTGCAGTCCCCAAGCATCCGGGCTTATTTAGTGACTTCTGACCTGCCGAAGTATAAAATAACAGATTTATGTTGTTCTGAGCCACTGACTTGGCTGTAATTTGTTACAGCAATACGTAACTGACACACTAGGCCAAAGCTCTGTGTCCCTGCAGAAGCAGCATGGCGTGACAGCAGTGATAGTGGGTGTGTACAGGGGACTCGTGTGTGGGGCACTGGGCTCACACTTTGTAGTAGCTTGTGTGATCCTTGTAATAGCCCACTGATTTTTAAGTATAGCTAGCCTCCTTATTTTATAGATTAGAAAGTCATGTGCCCTGCCCTCTCAGTTTTCTAAAGTCACATGGGTGGCAGGGACAGCCCAGGTTTGAGCCCCTGGCTGCAGAGCCTGGCTTTCACTCCGCTTGCCCTCCTGCTGCTCTGTTATGTGGTGGGAGCACCATTTGCTGTGGAATCAGAAACAGTGTAACCTAAATTCAGCCTGGCTGCTTAAAAGTTGGGTGACTGCCTTGGCCCTCTGAGCCTCCATTTCTTATCCATGCAGTGGGGATTGATCGGATTGAAAGAAGAGTAAATGCACTAACATATACCAAGGGCCTGGTATACAGTTGGGGTCTCAGGATTCCACTGCTGCTGTGTTTAAGCTATTCCCTCTGTCTTTCCACCCCAGGCCACCTTCCCATGTCCGCTACTCAAACGTGTATGATAACAAGTCATTGATTAGGCCCTGCAGGCGGGAGGGATGTGTACTACGCAGGGTCCTACAGGGCTTCAAGATAGCGAGTACGCTCGGCTGCTCCCACCAGGTTGGAGAGGCAAGGCTGTCCTTGTGCACACATCTGGACACCTACTTTTGGGTGGCCAAATCCTCCTGAGTGGCCAATCCTCCTCTCCTTCAGAAGACCTTTATTTGGCATCCAGGTGTTTTAGGAGCTTTGTTAGACAGTGGACAGAGATGACTATTGTGTGCTGGATGCTACACTATGAGAGAAGATGCTTTTGCCAGTGGGGCAAACACCTTTAATTCCCCAGTTGACTTTTTGAGCACGCACCATGTGCCAAGCCTTGTGATATGTATTTTACATTCACTCTTATTTGACCCTCATACAACTTTGTTAGGTCATTACATAGATGAGAAAATCGTGGATCAGGTGTAGTCAAATCAGTCTAATCAGGTACCTAGTCAAATTCACAGAAATAGAAAGTGGTGGAACCAGACTCCAGGTCCATCTGATCCCACAGCTATAACAAGGGTGGTGCTGGTTCAACCGCAGCATCTCGGAAACATTAGAACTGTCATGTGCATTATCGTTGCTGAGCTTGGTTCTCAGAGCTGGAAGGAGACTCACTATCACTTTGCTCATGCAGGGTATAAAGGTGAGCACAGGATCAGGCTTCTCTGCTGTCCCAGAGGGTTTTAGGTGCCTCTTGAGAAAGGAAAAGAAAAAAGGAAGGAAAGAATATGAGTGTGCAGGGTATGGGGAGAGAAGGCGAAAATAAGAGTTGGGGCCACCAGGCATGGCCTTGGAGGTCACTTAGCTTTATTGTACCTGTTCTATGCTGGGCATTTTTTTTTTTTTTGAGACGGAGCCTCAAGCTATCCCCGTGGGTAGAGTGCCGTGGCATCACAACTCACAGCAACCTCCAACTCCTGGGCTCAAGCGAGTCTCCTGTCTCAGCCTCCCAAGTAGCTGGGACAACAGGCGCCCGCCACGACGCCTGGCCATTTTTTTTGGTTGCAGCTATCATTGTTGTTTGGCAGGCCCGGGCTGGGGATTTGAACCTGCCACCTTAGGTGTATGTGGCTGGCGCCTTAGCCACTTGAGCCATAGGCGCCGAGCCTATGCTGGGCATTTTTTAAGTTTCTCATGACACTGGTAGGGCAGGAGAATAAACGAGCCATTTTACACCTAGGTCAGCTGGTCTGAACAGGAGCCCAGCTATACAGATAGCAATAGAATATTGCTGTCTGCAATATTCTGCGCCCAGTAGCAGTAGAATGTCCCGGTATCCATGCCCTTGAAAAAGACCACGCTCTTTGAGAAGAGACTGTCACCCTGGATGTGTGCTCTCTGTGAGTTCTTTCAGGCATCTTGCCAGGCTTGGTCCTTATGGGGGAAGCAAGACAGAAAGGCCACGTACAGAGTGGAGGAACTCAGTACCTGCCCCTGTCGGCCTGTGGGTCAGAAACAAAGGCATCATCACCAAGGGACAGGAGAACAAAGGAAAGGTCTGCTGTCTGGCACTGGCCTTTGAAAAGCACAGCACAAAGAATACCAAGATTTTTATTATTGTGGCTCTTGGTGAACAGCCAGAAAAGACATTGCATAGTCAGGGTTTTCCACTTACCCTTCAGGCAGAGTATAGTCAAGGGACAAGTGGACTTTGCTGCTCCTTGCCAGGAGCCCTGTGCACCTGCTGGCCACCTTGGCTCTCCAGCCTCAGGGCTCTGTGTTTTACTGCTCATTCCTAAAGTTGACTTGAGAGGATAAAAATAAACTTGGTAGTTCACAATCCATGTATTTGAACATCAAAGGGAAACAGATTTAAAAGGCCTATTTTTAAAAAAGCGCTTTTTGCCTTAAGCTTCTGGCTTGGCAAACATCTGTGAGTAGTGGCAGGTGTTAGCCACCCTGGGCAGGGCGCCCTGCACGCAGAGTGTGATCCAGAAGCAGGGGGAGAGGTGGACGAGATCTCACTTTCTCACAGCCCTCCCTGTGTTGCCTGACCGTGTGCCAGACACTAGTTTCATGTGTTAACTCCCTCACAGCCTTATGAGATAAATTTTAATATTCCTATTTTATAAAAAAAAAAAAGTTAGCTGGGCATGGTAACATTCTCCTATGGTCTTAGCTATTTAGGAGGCTGAGATAGGACATTCCCTAGAGCTCAGAAGTTTGAGACTGCAGTGAACTATGATTGTACCATTACCCTCTAGCCTGGGTGGTAGAGGGAGACTCAAAAAAAATACATATATCCCTTTTTTAAAGGCCCAGAGAGGTTAAATAGCCTTCCCAAAGTCACAGAGCTAGAAAGTAACATGGCTGGAATAGAAAGTGTGGGAGTCTGGTTTTAGGGCATTTCTGCCACCTCTAAGCAAATTGTAAGATCTGCCCAGTGGGAAACTGTCACAATGTACAGGGAGAGCTCAGTTAAGGGAGACTATTGCCCTTGGTTTGGGTTCATGCTCAGAGGGCATTGTCCTTGGGACTGGCTAGCATTTTGCAGTGAGATGTGTGACCTGGTGTCAGAAGGTGCTCCATCTACACTGTATTGTAAGGGGAAGTGGCTGCACCATCCCTGTCACCTGCTCCTTGTTTTATTGCACTGACTTAGCATATGGGGCTGGCTGTAGGAGTAACTTTTTCTTTTTTCTGTAATTCCTAGAGAGAGTTCAGGCAGCTGTTCCCTTGACATGCAAGGTTCCTAAGCCAGAAGGAGAGGATCCATATGTGTCAGGGTCTTCACACCCTAAAATGTCTTGAGGTATTTGTCAGAGTAGCATAGGGAGTGGCCACAGTCACCATGGGACAGAGCTGATACTCACAACCAGAGCTGATAGCTTAGAAATAATTGGACCTGAGTCTCTAAGATAACTTCTAGCTCAGAAATCCACTGACACCATGACCTGCCTTAAAGTAGGGCTCTTAGCCCCAGGCTGCACTCTCAAACCACCTGGGTGAGCTTTTTAAAAAAAAAAAAAATTATGACACTGCCAAGAAGTCAGCAAGGGAGATAGGAAACTGAGAGAGAACCAACATAAGATTAGCACCCAAAATGTATGTCCTAAGGCTTGGTCTATCCAACTGGAGAGAGAGAAAGCAAATTTGGCACCGAGTTCCTAAGAAAAACAGTAGAAAGACCAAAACTTGGGTGGCTTTAGAGCTCTTGAATGATGAGGTATACCCTTTCGGAGCAGTGGAGCTGTCCCTGGTGCTGAGATTTTTTTCCCGTGTGAGCTATCACACCCTGATGTAATAAGCCACATCCTTCACAGTATCCTTCAGCAGTAAACACAGTGCCAGTTCATAGGACCATTTCTTATAGTGTCCCTGGTGTGGGCCTGTGAGGTGACATTATTCAGTCAAAATAATGTAGCCCACTTACTCGACTCTGCCAGTCTGACTTTATTCAGGCCCACATGTAGGGTAACTAGGCTGGCTGAACTGAAGATTTACAATGGCAGTCAAGTTCCTTAGACCCTCCTGTGTGTAAGATCATCCTTATATTTTATCTGACAAAAATGACACAAATCTAAGTCATTCAGTAACCTTTTAAATCAATTTGATTCAGTAAGTTTAGTAGGGACTCAGTAAATGTTAAATTAGTTAATATTTTATGATCACACGAGTATTCATATGTTATATGTCCCTTAACAGAAATATGTCCTGAGAAATGCATTGTTGGACAGTTTAATCATTATGTGACCAGCATAGAATGCACTTACCCCAAGGTAGATGGTACAGCCTACTGCATACGTGGGCTGGATGGTGCGGCCTATTACTCTCAGGCTATAAGCCTGTACGTAGGCCAGTGTTTTCAACTTTTTTTATCTCACAGTACACTTGAACCTATCTATAGTTAAGTTTCCACAGTGCCCTTAAATTATGTTGATCAAAAAATAATTTAAGAAAAATACTATGCTTTGAACTTTTTTTGGAAATAATTAATGACCTTTAAAAATTTTTGCAGCACACCTAAGATCCTGCCACAGCACACCAGTTGGAAAATCAATGCTGTAGGCACTTGTAACACAGTGGTGTGTGTGTATCTAAACATGTGAACATACAAATGGCACAGTAAAAGATATGGTATAAAAGATAAAAATGGTTCACCTGTGTAGGGGCTGGCTGTGGAAGGGGCTTATAGACCCAGAAGGTGCTCTGGGTGCATCATTGAGTCACCGGTGAGTGAGTGGCGACCTAGGACATTACTGTACACTAGCGCAGACTTTAACGCTATACATTTAGGCTACTAACATTCTTAAAAGTTTTTTTCTTCTATAATAAATTCGCCTTAGCTTCTTGCACCTTCTTTATAAGCTTTTTTTGCAGTTTTGGCCAGGGTCGGGTTCAAACTCACCACCCCCAGTATTTGGGGCCAGCACCCTACTCCTTGAGCCACAAGTTAAAATAACTTTTCAACTCTTACTGTAATAACACTTAAAACACAAGCACATTGTACAGCTCTACAAAAATTCATTTTTATTCCACAAACTTTATTTGAAGTGTTTAGATTTTTTTTGACAATTTGTAGAAATTTATTAACATTCAAAGACATTGTTTAATCTTCCCATCAGTATCCTAGATTTCTTACTTTTTACATATTTACACACATCCATTGGCCTAGACCTGCACAGTGTGAGGACCATCACTATCACTGTCTTTCCCCTCCCCTTGTCACACTGGGACAGCTGCCGGGGCAGTAGAATCTCAGGGACGGTTTCCAGGGCTCTGAGAGGCAGTGAGTACAGCAGGCCCTGTACTGGGCTGGCCTGTAGAACCGTGATATGAGGATCAGCCCCCTGAGCCCTTTCTGTTTGAGATCATACACATGCGTCCAGAACACAGTCACAGTTTTATGGACCCTGAGTGGTTGCTTTTTGGATACCCGTGATGGTGAGATAAGGAGTTGCCGAGGTTCTGCTGCTGGGGACCCCCACATACACCCTAAGCATCTAACAGAGACTTCTAGACATCTCTCCAAGGGATTCCCTAAGGCCCTCTGAACAAGGAAGGTAGTTACGTTTGTTGACACTTCCTGTGTGCCAGGCACCTTGTTCAGCGCTTTATCTCAAGATCCTAAAGCTTCGTACCCTACCCTATGAGGCAAGAGTTACAATTCTCCCCATTTCATACTTGAGGGCACCAGGACATGGGAAGATGGGATGACTAGATCAGATGTACATGGACAGTCAAGAGGAGAGCTGCAGTCCAAGCTGCATCTGTCCAACTCCAGCTGCTCAACTCCCTGACATCCCTGAGCCTGGTCTCAGGCAGGTGTCAGGATCGGCAAGGCTGGGCCTCCTGGATGATACTAGCAGGGTGGGATGTGCTTGAGTCCCCACCCACCACCACCGTGTGTTTTTATTTCCATATTCCAGCTCCATCTAGAGATGCCTTAGCACTTTCCTCCCCCAATTCCTGGTTATCTGACCCGGGATATGCACCTGGAGGTGACAACTGGCTGAGCCTCACTCCCAGAGCAGAGAGGAAGTCAAAGCGTGGCTAGTGCAGCATGCCTTCCCTCTTTGTGCCCCCTTCCCCTGTGCAAAGACCCTCAGCCTCCAGCGGAGACCCAGGCCAGAGTGAGCAGAATACATGCTTATTAGGTTTTTGAATACATGGTGCTTAATTAGCTTTCTTCTTTACAAACCCTTAGAGTAAGATTGCCAGACCAAGCCTAAGGGTGTGTCAGATTGTAGCTGGGAATTTTCCCATGGAGTGCAGGGGCTCTCATTCTGCTGTATCAAGGCAGGAAATGAACCGCTTGTAGCCCCATATGCAGGTCACAGCTGTGAGGTCTCACAGCACGTGTGGCATTGTACATGGCCCAGTAGTTTTTCTTTTGTTCCTTCTTGCTGTTTTTGGTGAAGCTTAATTTCTCAAGTGGGTTTAATAATTGATTACCGCTTATTGGTGTTTTAGCCAGTAGGTTAGCTCAACTTGGGGCTCTTGGGTTCACAGTGATAAGGGATAATGAATGCCTGCTGGTTGTCTGCTTGATTATTTGGAGAATCCTGCTTCTTCCTCTCCACTTCCTCTCAGTGACCACTTTTAGCTGATGTTCTCTTAACTCTTATGGCCTCCGTTTCTGCCTGTGATTCGTGTGAAACTTAACTCCAGCACAGGGCTCTCAGGCCCTGGACGTGTTGGAATGCTTCACCCCTGCTGCCCAAGTGGGTTGGTGGCTGGATGCTTTGTCTGCAGGGTGTGGTGTGGACAGGGTCTGCCAGCCATCGGTTTCCAAAGCCAGACTCTTCTGGGGTAAGCTGTGGCTGACAGGTGGCAAGAACGATCCCAGGGCCCTGTGGGCCTCCTTGGAAGACGGGATCGTGAAGGGGTCCTTTGTCTCAGAGCCTGCGATTAGGTTGCAGCTCTTTGTGCCAGCGAGCCCACAGTCAGGAGGGCTCCCCGTTGATGAGCAGGGAGACCTAAAGGAAAGGCTGCAGGTCTGGGAAGTCTGCAGGTCTGGGAAGTCTGCTCTGTCCCCACAACTTAAAAACCAGGCCTAGGGCTCGGCGCCTATAGCTCAACCGGCTAAGGCGCCAGCCACGTACACCTAAGGTGGCGGGTTCGAATCCCCAGCCCGGACCCGCCAAACAACAATGACGGCTGCAACCAAAAAATGGCCGGGCGTTGTGGCGGGCGCCTGTGGTCCCAGCTACTTGGGAGGCAGAGGCAGGAGACTCGCTTGAGCCCAGGAGTTGGAGGTTGCTGTGAGCTGTAATGCCACGGCACTCTGCCCAGGGGGACAGCTTGAGGCTCTGTCTCAAAAAAAAAAACAAAAAAAAAAAAAAACCAGGCCTAGGATCTGTCCAGCCAAGCACAGACAGCCAGCTACCACCAGCCGGCTTCTGGCTCTGCTCAGCAAAGTGCCTTGAATTCTTTCAATGTCAGTGTTGCTATTTTTTCTTTTTCTCCATTTCTCCTCAGCTCACAATAGAGGTTTGTTAGGAAGATGCCAGGAAAGCACTCGCGCATGTAATGATTGAGAGATTTAATTCCACCTTGGAAGTTCCTTTTTTTGATTGCCTTTGTGCTTTTTCCTGGCAAAAATAACCCTCTCTCTCTCCCTTCTCCATCTCCCTCTCCATTTGCTGGTGCCTTCCACAGAACAAAGAGTTCAAGACGCTGTCGGAGCAGTTCTCCACGGCCACCTCCTCGTACACCATGGAGGTGGAGCGGCTGAAGAAGGAGCTGGCGAGTTACCAGCAGAGCCAGGGGGCCCCCAGGCTGCAGGAGGAGGTGGAAAGCCTGCGCACAGAGCTGGAGAGGGCCCACTCGGAGCGCAAGGTCCTGGAGGACACCCACAGCAGGGAGAAGGACGAGCTGCGGAAGGTACGCTGGACACGGGTGGGTGCTGGCAGGGGGCTGGCCAGTGGGTCACCCTGTCAGAGGCTGTTTCTTCCAGCTGAAAAGTTGCCACAGGCTTTACCTGGGCCTCCCACAGACTTAGCCCCACCAGAGTTTAGACAAAGTGTCGTGCTTCTGGAGAACCCTCACAAGCTTCTGCTGACAGCTGGCTTCTCTGGCATCCCTTGAGAGGGTCATACAGTGCTGACTTGCGAGTATCTTTCTTGTGGTCTAAGGTTAGTACCCAGGCTGGCTCTGTGGCCCCGTACCCTCTGGTAGGCAACATAACTGTGACAGAGGCTCTTGATGCTGCGTGCAGAGTTAGGGGCAGCTTCTGGGGACTCTTCCCCGTACTGAAGTGTCCTGCAATGGGGGATTCAGCAGAAGTGTGAGTGTTGACAGTCTCAACTTGCCCACTCCAGCTGGTGTACTCAATGTGATCACTCCCTGCCAATGAAATAGAACCTCCTGGGTTTTGCCCCCAATCCCTTAAACATCAGGATAGAAAGGATTCCTGCTCTCTTTTCAAGGTAGTTCTAACCAAGAAAGTCCCACGGGGCACTTGGGACACTGCTGTTCCCCTGCCCCCATCTCTACAGGCCGTGAGCCACCGGGGAAGCATGTTGCGCACTCATACAGCATCTGACAGCAGTGACGAGATGTGGGGGGGAGGTTCAGTGATGATATTGGAGAACAACATGAAGATGGGGGCAGACTGGATGCCATACAGAAGGGGCCCTGTGTGGTGATTCCCAGATTCCCATCCCCACTCAGCCAGTCCTAAGTGTGTGCAGAAAACCTCACAGGCCTTAGTTCCCTCATCTGTGTGTGTATTTTAACATTGGTCTAAATTGTCTCAAGGACCTTTCTGGGCTTGCACCTGACTATATCCATGATATGGATGTGTTTGGTGGCTTCTGGAAGAACTAGTGGTCCTTAGCCTTGCCTCGGGAGTCGTCCTGTCCTCCCCTCCTGCTTCCTTCCTGCAGACTCCCTCTGAGAGGAGAGCCCACAGAGCCAGCTCGTGCTGTATCACTTTCCCACCCCAGGCAGAACACCGGTACCAACAGCCACTGAAGTCAGCCAGATCCCAGGGATTTCCAGGGGCCAGAGGTGGGATCCAGATGGGGGTGGAATTAGGTAAGGGAGAAAGTGAGACATGGCTTCCCAGTGAGCCAGCCTGGCACATAAAAAGCCACCCTCCTGATGTGTTGCTTTGAGCATTACAAGACCCTCTGTCTGCTTGGAAATGCCCATCAAAATATAGCTATAAGCCTGTAACCTACAAACCATAGGATTCCACATGTGTGGTCTGCTCACCCTTGGGAGATGGATGGGTGGCAGCCTTTCTATGTAAATAAAAACCAGTAGGTAGAATCCAAAACCAGAAAGGAAGGGGCCAAGTTAGAACTGGAAGCTCTTAAGATTGGTGACCCACAAGAAAAGACAAGAAAGCTCTCTGCTTTGCGTCCCGGTCAGATCTTGCAAAGCCTATTTACCCACCAGAGCCATGAAACACAGGTCTCTCCTAGTTCTGCCACCATAGATAACACTGGATTCATCAATTCCCCAGCCTCCCTGCTAAAGGCCATGATTTGGGAACTCAAAGCACTTTTAAAATATCCAAGTGTCCATCCTAGGGAGGATAAGAGTTCATAATATGAAACTTTTCCTTGACAGAACAAAACAGCAGTGGACACCCTCTTCCCCCCCTTAAAAAAACTTGCTAGAATTTCCTAGGAGTTTGTTGGTCTAGGTCTTAAATAAAATTAAATCTTGGAACTGTCAAGGAAAAAAAAAAAAAAAAGTAAGGACACTTAGGAAGGGGAACATTGGGAGAAAAGGCAGAACAAAGCCCTTCCTAGACTCCAAACATAAACACATCCCAAAAAACCATAAAATATTCAAGTAGAATGTCCACCTCTTTCAGAAAATGAAAAAGTAGAAGCAACATTCTTCCTTTTCTAGGATCTTCAAACTCTTTTTATTCTGGTGGTTGAGGGATAGGTAGACAGGCTGGCTGGCTTCGGGGTAGGGTTACATCTTCTCTGCATGGGCTTCACTGTGTATCAAAGGCACTGTGTCCAGTCTTAATAAGTGCTAAACAATCAGACACTTGGTTTCCCCCTGAGCACAATCAAGGCTCTGCTCTGTGTTGAGCAAGATAGATGAGACTAGCCAAATGCAGGGAGCGAACTGACGGCTAGTAGATGTTTAAGTCATGGGTTGGATATTTCCATCAGCAAAGGCAGCAAATGTTGTACTGGACCTAGCACCTCCTACCCCTGATGGTATCAACTGCTAGGCCACGTGGCCACCCTGCCTTGGCCTGTGGGAGGCCAGGTCTCATTCCCTAGGGGCAGGAATTCATCTCTGTGTACAGCGCCCAGGGTAGCCGTCACACCCCAGCCACCTAAGCTAGATGGCATCCTTTCTACTAAAGGTGCCTATCACTTAGGCCTCTCCAGAGTGTTCCACACTCAGGCCCTGGCCTGCCTTCCTTTTTAGCCTATGGAATGTATACATTTTTTTTTTTTAAAGCTTTGTTAATCCCTGCACTAGCTGCTTTTATGTAGGTATACTGTTTGATGACCCTGGTGAAAGCAAGGTGGTCCCCAGGGGTGCCCGTGGCACAAAGGCAATAGCTCATTATCCAGAATCTGCTTGGTGGGGCCAGAGCAAGGCCCAGCTGGATGCAGGGTTGTCATGGGTGAGGAAGAGAAGGCCACAGCCAGGAGCCGGGCTCTCAGCAAGGCCTTTGGCCCTTGTGAGAGGTGACTAGCAAGCCCCCAGGCTCCACGCATTCAGACTGGCAGAGTTGGATTGTGCGTTGTCATGACATCAAAGAGCCACCAGCCACTAGTTGGCTACCTCGTTTAGTTCCAGTATAAAGGTTTTGGATTTTTCCAATAGAAATAGATCTGGCTGGGGAGGTGGCGGTGGGTCTCAGAATATGTTTACCTTCTCTCAAAAGGTGCAGAGCAGAATGACTTACTAGATAAGACCAGGTTGTGATCCCAGTGGAGTCTGAGGCCAATTAGATGCAGGAGTCCTAGAAGTTCATGGCCCTTCACACAGCTTGTCTTTGATTGAGGCCTGTGCATGTTAGGCACTATTCTATACCCTGGGACATAAGTGAACAGTCGTTTAGGTTTTTGTTTTTTTTTTTAAGTCTTTTTAATTCATATGGAGCTTAAATGTTTGAGGATAGAGGAATATGGTGCAGGTAAACAAAATGTTCCATCGTGGGCTAATAAGAAAAATAAAGCAGAGTAAAGGGATAGGGACATGGAGAACCACCTGGGGTCTTGATGGTTTCAGTTATAACAGGCAGAGGTTGTCTTGCTGAGAAGACACCTGAGCGAGGTGATGGGTGAGCTGTGGGATTGCTGGGGAGCAGGTGACAGGTGTATCAGCAGATACCGGTCTGGAGGCAGGAGTAGTAGGTGGGTTCGAGGACCCAAAGGGAGGCTGCTGAGCTTAGCAGAGGAAGCAAGAAGAGGAGCAGTAGGGGAAGAAAATAAATGTAAAGTTCATCGGTTATTTTAATATATTCAGAGTTTTGTAATTCTCACCATGGTCTGATTTTAGAATATTTTCATCACCCCCAAAAAGAATTCTGTCCCTGTTAGTAGGTACACCCCATTTCCTAGGACCCTAGGACCAAGTAACCACTAATCTTTCTATCTGTAGATTTATCTGTTCTGGACATTTTGAAAGAATGAAATCACACAGTACATGGTGTTTTGTGGCTGGCTTCTTACACTTACCCCAAGCTTTCAAGAGCCACCCATGTTATAACATAGATCAGTACTTCATTCTTTCTTGTTACTAAATACTTTGTTGTGTAGATATGTTGTCAGTTAATTGATAGACATTTGGGTTATTTCTGTTTGGGACTATTATGAGTAATGTTGCTACAAACATTTGTGTATGTAAGTTTTCATTTCTCTTGGGCATTTACCTGTGAGTGGCATTACTGGGTCACATGGTAACTAACCTTTTGAGGAAACACCAGAGTACCTTCCAAAGCCGCTGCTCTGTTTCCCATTCCCACAAGCAGTGAATGAGCATCCTGATTTCTTCCCATCCTCACCAACACTTGCTCTTGTCTGTCTTTATTGTGGCCATCCCAGTGGGTGTGCAGGGGTGTTGGTTCATATTTCTCTAGTAACTAATGATGTTGAGCATCTTTTCCGTGTTTATTGGCCATTTGTATTTTTCCTTTGGAGAAATATCT